AGCAAAACCTTGGAGCCCATGTGAGTACCCGGCGGCCCCGCACCCCTGGGCCCTCGGGGACCCCCTGAGCCCGGGCAGGACGAAGGAGACATCTTGGCGCTGGGGGTGCTCTCAAGCCCTTGCATGCAGTCTGCACCTGCAGTCCACACCAGTCATTGGAGTCCCCCCCACACATCTTCCTGAGTCTATCTCCGTAGAGCCCGTGTGCGCAACTAGAGCACCCTGCGATATGTGGAATCTCTCCTGTAACTAGAGTCTCCCAGGGAAGCATCTAGTCTAGTGATTCCTAACCTTTTTTGGACCAGGACCCACTTGTAAACCTCTCCAGACCAGTGCCCCGCATTCCTGAACCGCTGCCCTCCTGGTGTGTGGGGTCCCAAGCAGCCCCTTGCAAGCTGGAACTGTGCAGCCTGCAAGGGAAAAGCCCTAGTTCCCTATGTTTTTATCTGCTAAAGGTGATCCATTTTTAAAGTTTGTTCACAACCCATGTGTTCTTGCCACCTGCTCCTGGGTCATGACCCATGGGTTGAGAAACGCTGCTTTAGGGCAGTAATTCTCAGCCATGGTGATGCAGAACCCTGCTGTCCCTTGAGATCCTTTCAGGGGTGCCATGCGTGCCTCACAGTGGTAGCATTGTTAGGTGCACTAACGTGATTTGCAAGGTAAACCCTGGGATTTCCAAGCGGAATCCATAGCGTTAAAATCCTTCTGACTTGTTGGGGTCTTCTTGAGTTCTTTGCAACAAAGAAAAATAGGTTTGTTGTTTTTCTGCTGCCTAAGAAACAAGTGAAAACTAAGAGCTGGCACTTATTCGAGGGGTGCCTCCATTCGATCTTGAGCCTTAAAAGTCTGAGGACAGTTCCTATAAGGAAGGGACTTGAAACTAACCTGTCTTCTAAAGACGTGCTCATCCAGGAACAGAGAGTAGTGTTAGCTCTCCCAGGTCACATCTGTGCCTCTGATATCTTCTGACAAACCCAGGTGAGAAATTAGTGAAACACTAATTTCTAATAGCTCAGATACATTTGACTCCCTAAGTGCTGCCCCAGCTAAAACACTCTCAGATGTTTCGGACACTGCTCCATAACTTTGAGTAGCCACCTGGAACTGAATAAAAAGCTCATATCATTTTAATCTGTATGTCTGTCATGGTATAATTCATGGGGAGGTTATAAGCTTTATTAAGACTCGAGGTGAAATGCTTAAAATTTATCCAGGAGACCTTTATTTAGTGGGGCCTGCCTGATTCAAAGCTTGCTGAAATCGATACAAGTTTCTTGGTTGTTTTCACAGGCCCCATCATGAATTAAAACACAATAACAACATGAAATACTTGAGCTTGTGGTAAAGCCTAGATCTCTTTTATAGGTTAGGTTTTCTTATTTGACATGATATATTTTGCATTGGGTGTACTCATAGGATCTTGTTTAAAATGGGTTAAGCATGATTTAGATATCCAAGTATCTTCCTGATTTGTAACTTGTTAGTTCTTATTTAGTCTCTGTGCTCTGTGTTTTTACTTGTTTCAGCACTTAAGTAAAGTTCATATTATAACAGTCATTCTCTGTACTGTGATGGTGGTGTGAATAGGTATTCCTGTGGTGCAAAAGTCATCTTGTTGTATTAGTTTTTTATTATTTGCACTGAGTACAAAATACAAGCATGTAATATCCAAGCAAAACTAAAATACTTCATTAAAAATTTAGATTGCAAAATTTCCAGCTCACTTGGATTTCCTGAGTCTGTATAAAAGGTTTTATCGTATGCATTTGTTTTTTGCAAATAATCAGTTAATGGATAGTATTTACTAAAATTGCTGTGGCTAGTTTCCCCTCGTAGATGTGTACCAAATTAGTTTGAACAGACTTCAAAATTCCTAACTCTTTTATTGGGAGGACAGATCAGTATTTATCTAGTTTTTGCCTGTAGTCTTAAAAAGATTCTGTTTCTTTGATCTTTTTGTTGGCTAGTGTGCTCCATGGAGCCATGTGCTTCAGTGCATCAAGCTAGCGATTGGTTTTCTATCCATAATCCAGCAATTGAGGTCTAGTAGATGAAGGCCAATGAAAAACTGAGGTTGGGGGCACCAGTGAGTTAGCAGTTCCATACTCTGCTGGGAAGGCCAGGTGGTGGAATACCAGCATCCTGTTCCTGGACTCTGCTTGAAGGTGAAGCTGCCTTCTGCTACTGCTGGTGGCTGTCCAGAGCAGGTGAAGAATGAAATGGAGGTTGTCATATATCAACAGTGGCTATCAGTAGTCTAAAATGTTCCAAATAGCAGCAAGGGAAATTGTATCATATTTTTGTTTTCTTCTGCTTTTTTGGAAAATGATAGGCATTAGCCTAAGTACTGAAGCTTTTTCTAGCTGGACTTGGGAAGGTGGCACTATATTGCTTCATATTTAGAAGGTCATACATGCATTTGCTGAGTAGAAATATTTAAGCATAATTTAATCATCATAGAACCGGAAGGGACCTGTACGATCATCAAGTCTGGTCCCCTGCCATGGGCAAGAAGTATTGGCCTCAGCTTAGCTCAGCAAGGTGCTCAAAGAAGGGTGTTTGTGCACACTGATTTGGATGAAGAGGTAGAAATGATATAATAATCTATAATATTTTTGAAGAAGGGTGTTTGTGCCCAAAAGCTTGCAACAAACAATTTTTTCCAACTATTTAGTTGGTCTAATAAAATATATCACATCTACCCGAAGAAGCTTTTCTGCCTAATTTAGTAACTCAAGCACCTATTTTGGTGGGAGGGAGGGGGTTACCACTAGGTTTTATAAGTCCCAAATATAAACAATATGGGCTGAAAACCCTTAGATGGAGGATACTTAATCAGGAATTGTAGTTGGTTACCAGAAGCAACAATGGCTGCATACACGGTTCATATATAATCTGAGGGAGAAAGTGACTCTCCTGAGAGAAACTGAATGTCTGTCTGCACATGGCTGTAAATTAGAATGTCTCTAAGTTAGAAACTTAAGAAGCTCAACTTCTGTGGTACTCTTACAGAAACACAACTGTAAATCTTAAGTTTTTAATTAGATGAATTATTAAAAGCAAGCTAGTTTTCTGTTGCACTCTACTTGAAAATGAGGCAATAAACTTTACTGGGGCAAAGATGGGTTTAAAAAGTACGTGTGTGTTTTAGGCGTTGGGTTCAAAGTATTGGGTCAGTATCACTCGTCTCTGAGTACATGCTAGAACATGCAGGCTATGAGTTGGAGTGAAGGTGTTCTGGTTTCATTGAGAGAGAGATTTTACCTTTCCAGCTCTCAACTGTTCCACAGTCATTGGCAAAACCTAGATAGACCTCTGCCTTGACAGGAGTGTGGGCATGCTTCTAACTCCAGTTGGCTGCTCTGTTAGCTGGGTGTAGACCACAGTTTGCATTGGAGATTGATGAGTTGTTCCAGAACAGAGGCTACCACAACTAGTATTCCTATGCCTTCCCATGGTTCCCTCCAGGAAACACAGACAAATACTTGTACAACATTCATTTTTCTGGAGTGCTGAGAATTGTGAAACATTTCCCCAGAATCTTAGTGTCATGTGAATGAGTGTGGTACCAGTGTGGGCCCAACACATTTTACAGTGTTTTGCATTTTGCCTGCTTTTACTCAGCTGGGGCTAACCTGAGTGCAAGTCAGTCTGTGGAATATAGGGACAGGCAGCTACAACCCAACTTGGCTGCCAAAGATCACCATGCTGCCTAGTCTCTAAATGTTGTATGCTGTGCAGGCTTCACTACATGTTTTGCAGTTGTGGCTATGGTGGTCAAGAGGTGGGAAATGATGGCGTCTTTTCACTGATGTAGCTTTGCCAGCAAAACCTGTCATCTGGATGCAGATATGCTCACAGGAGAGGGTTTCTGCCAACAGGGCTTCTGTCATTTGAGTCGGGGATGTAAATGTGCACATGGAGATGGGGAGGAAAACCCCTCTTCTGTCACTCATGCAGTCTCTGCTTGCGAGTTCTGTTGCCATAGTTGTGGCTGCACAGTTCTGGCAGCAATGACCGCACAATGTAAACCAGGGCTATGCATCTGGTGGTGCATCGGCCACATTTTACCTCTCAGGGCTTAATCTGTGGGCCGTGCAGCTCAGTCTGGGCACTATTCCCTCCATTGTTTGCCTGCCACTGAACTCTCCATGCTTCCCTTTCCCTCAGCTTGCTTCTGCTGCTTGCCTCTTGCATAGGTGCAGGATCTCACCATTGGTGTGTAGTATTCACTAGACTACAGCTACTCCTCACTTAAGGTCATAGTTACATTCTTGAAAAATGCAACTTCAAGCGGAATGATGTTAAGCAAATCCAATTATGCCACAGTAGTTACCTTCTCGCAGGCGGCGGCCGAACAATGTTATTATAACCGAAGGTTGTGCGACTTTAAACAAGTATGTTCTCTGATAGATCAGTGATGTACCCTACAAGTAGTTGTCATCTCTGTAGAGAGCATACTCTCACAGTTTGCCTCAGGTGACATCATTAACAGTGGTATTATTTAGGTTAAGCCATCTCTCTTCATTTTCTACTTTATTTTACATAGAGGTAATTAAAGCAAAATGTTGCCATACTATAAAGTTAATTAAGATCTTTTATTGGCACTGTGGCTTTCCCCTCATAGTGGCTTAAGGCTCTAGGTATTTAACTCTCCTCCTCCTGTAGTCTCAGATCTTTTTTGCAGCTTTGTTCAGTTTGTTAATACTGATTTATCAAAAACTTTTTGTTTATGTGAATTAAAGGATAAAGTTTATGTGCCACGTGGGCATAGCCTCATTAAAATGGAAAATGTTCTTTGCTCTGGTTAATTATCTGAATTGCCATGGGATTATGGTATTGTAATTGCTTATTACAATAAAAAAAAAAATAATAAAAATAATAATAAAAAAAAAAAAGGGTTGGAGTAGATGATCTGTCTAGGTCCCTTTCGACTCATTGATTCTATGATTCCTAAGAAAATCACATATAATATTTACAGTACTGTGAACAAGCTGTCAGATTAACTTGGTCATCATGAGCTTCCAATATTTTTCTTCGCACCTTTTATTCTTGTGCCATCTTACCCTATTTTGACAATTTTTTTCTATCGACTGTTGATACTTTTTGTGCTCAAATTTTTACTTGGTGAGCTCTTGCAATTTCATAAATTAGGTTGGCAGTTTTAGTTTTCCCTGTAGTGTTACTTAAGAGAATTGGTAAGGAAAAAAACTGTTTGGTGATAGTCGGTTGTGATGAAGCATGCTTTGTCTACTTAGATCATTAAACGGGTGGCAGTAAACAAAGGTGAGAGAGAGGGCATTCCTTTCAATTTTTATTATTGCTTACCATGCTGCATTTCTAGATCCCATAAGATTTTTTTTTCTGCCTCTAATAGAAACGTAAGAGGAATACATACTTCAGTTTTGTCAAGCTTTTGCTTAATGCAAAACCTTAACATTGCTTTTATGTACATTACAGTAAATAAACATGTCTGCCTCTGGCATCCCAGAGTTTTGGTAAGTTTATTTGCCTTTTCATTGGTGAGGACACTGTTTTTTTTCTCCCTCTTGGGTGTATCTCAGTGGAGAACTCCCCTGAATAAAGGAGAAAGGGAGTCTCATCTGCTTGGGAATTGCAGGGAGCTACTAAACCATGAAGCTGCTTCCAATTGTCAGGCCTCTTGAGCGTAAGAAGCTGTAATGTTCCTTTGTAAAGTCTTTAGAATCTTTTATTCTGCTTTAAACATTTGCTAAAAATAATTATAGCAAGAGCAGCCCTGCGTGGTTAGCAGCAACCTAATCTAATACAGAAGGAACGTCTGTGATGGTGTCCGTTTCATTGCTTGCTTACTAAAGAGCTTTGGGCTCTGACACATGTTATATTTGTCACGCCCTGTCTGGTATTTTACTGTGACAAAAAGCCTGTAGTCACACGTTTGGGCTTTTTGTCATGCTAAAAAAAGGTTTGATCTGGCCCCAAAATGGCAGATTCATGACGGGAAACATGCTGTTTAAAATGGCAATTTTGTCTTTGGAAGGTTTAACAAATTTAACACATGGACAGGTATTCCTGTCTCTCAGTATTGCACAGCGATCCATAACTCCCTGGCAGTGAGAGTGACAGAACGTGCCTGTAGTCTAGGAACTTTGAAAGGCTGTTGGTGCTCCAGCCCATGAAAGCACCAGGAACTGTAAAGGGTAATAGTAGTTGTTGGGGCAAGTTTATCAGTAAGCCTCTCCAACCCCCTGACAGCATCCCTGGAGCTAGAGGGAGCTACGGAGCAGCCTCTTGTCGTCCCCTGGCTGGATGGAGGGCAGCCTTCAAATACATCAGTGTACAGTGCTTCTGAGTATAACGGCTGCCTTCTTGGCCAGTGTTAAGAGTCGAACCACTCCTAGAGATAGGTGAGAACGAGTCTATGTTTGTGCTGTTTAGCCCAAGTCTGAACCTGACACCTGCAACTAGAGTCTGTGGACTAAACACAGAATTGGATAAATATATGTGTGTGCTCGCCTGCTTTACATGACTAGAAAGGCAGCATTGTGCATAGGTTAAGTTTGCTGTTTTTTTCAGACACCTGGTTTCAGAGCATTTGGTGACCATGTTCAAGTTCTCATACTTAAAATAGGGGCACCTTGTGTTATATTGCTAACCATTTCTAAAATAAGAGGGAGCGTTCAGCAGCTACTTTCAACTGTCACCTTTAAGTTTGGGTTCCTGATAAAAGTACACAGTTAAAATAGGGAACTTGTATTGGAATGAATTGCCCTTTTGAGAACAAAGGGATTTGATGAAGGAGCCTGTCTCTGTCCCCTTCCACCACTTTCCTAAGTGATTGGCAATGTTCACACTTTAGTAAAGCCATCTGATTAAAATTTGATGGGTTCAATTTGGCATATGTTTTCCAGATGGCTACAAAGCTATAAAATGCTCTGCAGACAAACACTGCTTATGCATGACTGATTCTAGGAATCGGTGTGCAAGTAGCGACGGTGACCAAAAGACCAGTTTGCAATGTGAGATTTCTTGCAAAAGTGGCACAAAAAGGTGAGAAATCAGTGAAGAATTGCCAGAAGGGCTATTTTTCTTTTCGGCAATTCATTTTCCTCGGGCCACCATGAAAATGCATACGATCCATAGTTTTGTGTTCTTATATTTTGCTCTTTCATTTTGCTGCTTTTAGCAAAATTAAGTTTCTGTTGAAATTAAATGCTGCCATAAAATCAAGTTTGTTTTAATACCTGCAAAGATGAAAATCTGGTAGGAGGTAAAGAGAAAATGGGATTGACCAGAATGTGGATGCTGATGTTCATGTTCATGTGTTCATGTTTTGGGGTATTGTCCGAGGTTGCTTTGTGTGCAAAGAATTTAATGTGTTGCCCTGTATGTAACACAAGATCCTTTCCTGATGGCAGCTGTAGTCTGAGATGGAAACTAAGAAAAGATTCTTTCCATCTGTTAAGTGCTCCACCTTTCTTCATTGTAATCACTGAGTTGTTTTTTAAACGTTTCAGATGGGCATATGCACTGTTGATGTTGCTGTTGTTTCCTCCCATTGTGCTCTGCTAAATTAGTACCTGTTTGGTAAAGTTTATTTAGAGTACTCCATGGGCATTCAGTATCACTGTCTGGATCACTTAAGATGCGCTCGGAAACAAACAGATAACTAGATACCCTTATCTTTTAATAGGTGTATATTTCAAGTAGACTCATATCACCAGAGACCCTGGTTTTCTCTGATAAAATAAATATCCCCAATTTTTGGATTAAAACAAGTAAGCCAAAATCCACATTTTTCCATGATTAAAATGAAACACCACTAGTAGATAAATATCTATGTAGATATATAGATTTATATCTATAGATCTATATATAGTGGCATTTTATTTTAATTGTGGAAAAATGTGGATTTTGGGTTACTTGTTTTAATCCAAAAACTGGGGATTTTTTTTTTCCCTCGGGGGGGGGAACCAGGATCCGATATTACCCTTAGACTCTTTGATTACTCTAAACATACCAGCACATCTCTTTTCATTTTCTATGCTATAATAATGCTTCAGCAAGTTATTCTTGCTTTGGAGTCGTAGTGTCCCTATGTTCAAAGTTTATGCCATGGGATGTAGTGGCTTCTGGGTCATGTATTCCTTGGAGGTTTTCAGATAGTGGCAGATCAGGTTAATAGAGGCTGCCAAATATGCTGCCCCATTCTGATGCACTTGTTTTGAATTAAGATGCATATTTTTCTAAAGCTGCTGTCTAGTGTAACTCAGCCTTTTCAGGTTGTCAGTCCTTATTTGAAGTCCATCTTTCACAACCCTTTTATGGTATACTGTCAAAGAGTAAAATACAGGGTGTTTATAAAATCCTTTTACATCTTTACATTTTAATAACTTTGGATGTACACATGATAAAGCAATCTGTAAACGGTGATTGAAAGCACTAAGTTTTAACACAATAAATGGGAATTAAGTTTTAACACAGTATAGCTCAGATTTCTAGACTTCAACATAATTGTCATCTTTCGTGATGCGGCATTCTGATTTTCCAACTCATTGGAAACATTCTCCAGTTGCTGTTGCATGATTTCATGAATTGCATTTATGATCCTCACCCTATGCATAGCTTATACTATGTTCCAAAGTTAATGAATTATGTTTTTAATTGCCATTTACAGTTTGTTTATATCTTTGGATATCATGTGTGTATCCAAAGTTATTAAAGTTTAAAGTTGCATAAGAACTTTATAAACGCCCTGTACATAGATGTGGTTTGCCAAAATAAATAATTTATGTAGCTGAGAAGAAATAAATGGTTGAAAGAGCATATTTGGCCTTGAAAAGAGAGAGTGAGCAAAAAGGGAAGTTTTCATTGCTTTAGATTAGGGTGGCTAGTGTGTGGCATAGGTGGCACAAGTGACACGGGCAGCTTGTGTGTATCATTCACAAATGATCTACACACGAGGAAACAGGGAACAGTGATAGAGATCAGGCAGAAAGCAGAGCAACAGATTGGGCAGGGGAAGTGAATGCATGTGGCACTTGGGGAGGATGCTGGGCTTAGTTTGTGAGATGCCTTTTAAAAAGTTTGGCGTGCACTGCCGTAGATCAGGGGCCAGACTTGATCTTAATGAACAACTTGTTTCTTCTTACTCTTTGTGTATCAACAAGCTTGCTTAACCAAACTTTAACATAAAGTCATCAGACTCATGGACTCCCTTCCCCCTGCCTCATGATAGATCCAGTGCATGCTGCATCTGCTTCAGCCAAGCTGTGCTCCATGCTGCATGTGGTGCCTGCACTCCTGGTCCAGGATGTGTGCTGCGCATGGTATCTGCTTCAGCTGGTTCTGGTCCTGTGCTGCATATGGCATGTGTAGTGTGGGTTGGGGATTGGCTGTGTGATAGACGTGGGAAGTGCGGGTGGATGGCAGGCTGGAGAGGGCATCATAGTTTCATAGGGTTGGAAGGGACCTGAGCCGATCATCAAGTCTGACCCCCTGCCACAGGCAGGAAAGAATGCTGGGGTCAGACGACCCTGGCAAGGTGTCTATGTAACCTCCTCTTAAAGACCCCCAGGGTAGGAGCGAGGACTACTTCCCTTGGAAGTTGGTTCTAGATCCTAGCCACCCTGCCTGAAATAGTGCCTCCTGATTTCCAGCCTGAATCTGCTCTTAGTCAGCTTGTGACCATTGTTCCTTGTTACTCCCGGTATTGCTCGGGGGAACAGGGACTCTCCTATTGCCTGCTGGTCTTTCTTGGCCAGTTTATAGACGGCCACCAGATCCCCTCTCAGCCTCCTCTTGTGCATGGCTCTGCTCATGTGAGGCAGTGACGTGGCGTCAGGTTGGGATGATTTGTGCCCGCCTGCCCCTGCGCTCCCCCTGGGACCTTTCAAAGTACCGCTGGGTTGGCAACCCCTGCATTAATTGGAGGCTTTTGTTGAAATGGTCAGCAGAAAAATTCACGTTTAAATTAGCTTCATGGCTTATGTTTGGTTGAAGATACCCTGTAAACAGCAAGGGTTAGACACACAAAGATAAAAAATGTTGTATCAAGTTTGACATTAGAAAATGTACTGCTGTAGAACTGTCAGATGTGGGGGGTTTTGTGCATCATCCCCATTCACATTAAATCGATGCTTTAGGTTTCAGGACAAATTCAGTGAAATCAAGGAAGCAGTTACTTACTGTTTTTAGAGTTACTGTTTTCACATTACCTGTAGATTTGGGAAGAGAGAACTTTATGGCTTATGTGTGGTTGAAGATACCATGTAACCAATAAGGGTTAGATCAGGGGTGGGCAAAATATGGCCCGGGGCCAGCTGCGGCCCACCAGACCAGTCTATCTGGCCCGTGGGCTCCTAAAAATTGTTTAGAAAATTAATATTAATCTTCCCTGGGCTGCCTGTCATGTGGCCCTCACTGGCTTGTCAAAACTCAGTAAGCGGCCCTCTGCTCAAAATAATTGCCTGCCCCTGGGTTAGATGCACAGTTTTTCAAAAAAGTATTTGTTATTTCAGTTCTGCTTAATGCAGCTTTATACTAGCATGAATAGGTTTTTACTGTGATTGTTTTTTTTGCTTGCTGAACCACTGTTCAACCAGACTAGTAGAAACACTTGGTTGAGAGGGGTTGTATATACAATACAGAGTTTTGCTGGTGTAGGTACTTTAAGGAAACTTTCATATAATCAGGTCTGCAAGGTGCAGACTTCATAGCAATTTGTTTGGGATTCTTCATTAAGGCAAAAGTTGTAATGGCAAGAATGAAGTTCCCAGAGTACCAGTAACTGAATTTGATTGCATTTACTTCTACAGCATTCATCAGAACATTTAAGTGATCAGGAGTGTCATTCACCCAGGTCCCTGTGCCAGATATGGGCCATGAGGCTTCTCATGGAGTGGATCTGACTTGGGCTATGGGGCAGCAGCTGCAGTGGGAGACACAGCTGTGGGTCAGGCAGCCACTGCTATGGCAGAGGTGTGCAAGCTGTGTTGCACACCCCTTGCTCACCTGCCTGCCTCAGAAAGCTATGCCCACTGGGGCCCTAGATTTCACAGCAGGCTGTGCCTATTTCTGACTGTGCTTCCAAATTCTCTGGCCTGTGGGCCAGCCTAGTGGGCCAAAGGGAGTAGCTCCATGGGCTAGATCCAGCATGTGAGCTATATGTTTGACACCCCTACTATAGATATTTCAGTATACTTTTAGTGAAAACATTTATAGTTAGCTAGATGAAAGTTCTTCAGCCTGATGATTTTTTTCATAAACTCTTCTCATTTAAAAAAAAAAATTCTTGATAGTATTTAGAAATGTTGAAGTTGCTTCTACATCTTGGCCTATGCTTTCCTCCATATTTTTTTCCTCCCTTCTATCATCCATCCCTCGGCATACTTTTGGGTCAAAGAGACTTTGGAGGGATTTTGTGGCCACTTACAAATATATCAGGGGCTAGGCCAGGGGTTCTCAAACTTCGTGATACTGTGATCCTGAGTGCTGAATGGCGATGGCAGGGGACAGGGAGCTCGCACATGGCAGCCACTGGTGATAGCCACCATTTGGTGCTGCCGCCACACGCTGCTTCCGTGTGCTGCCGTGCGCCCCCCCCCCGGGAAGTTTGCAGCCCCCTTTTAAGTTGTTTGCGAGCCCCCAGGTGGTTGCGACCCACAGTTTGAGAACCCCTGGGCTAGGCAGACAACTCTTCACCAAAGCGCCCCAGGGGAAAACCAGGAGCAACGGTCATAACTCCTAGAAGAAGGTTTCAGACTGGATATAAAGAAAAACTTCTTCATGGTTTGTTTGATGAGACTGGAATAGACTCCCAGTTGGGGTGGTACAGACATCTACCCCGGAGATCTTCAAAAGGAGACTGGATGTACACCTTGCTGGAGACAGGGGGGAGCTAGTATCTTTGCAGGAGCAAGTAGATGGACCTCTGTAGGCTCAGCAGGCTGTCCACTGAAAGAATGGAAGAGCTCTGTAACTCCTGGACAAAACAAAATTATGCTCCTTAAGCAAATGCATAGTTTTGGGGTCAGCAATAGCAAAGACTT